AGGAATTCTGGGAGTTGAAGTCCACAGGTCATAAAGGGGGCCTTAATATACCTACCCCTGTATCTAGAGACCTTCTCCTTTCAGTCAGCTATTGCACAATAAGAGGCCAAAGAGAATGATTTCCTTGACTCCTCTAGCAATGCCCAGCTGAGATGGATTGATTTAGAGACAAACCATAATATACCCCAGAGGCCTTCAAGGCCTAGCAGATGGGAGACTAGCTAGGAAATAACCAGAGCAGTCAATATTTGCTGAACCAGGTGAGGCCTGCAGTTGAAGTGTGGAGGTTTTGTGGTGTTTTTTAATTAAATAGGCAGAGATTAGACTGGCAAGCTGTCTTTGACATCAGAACTGAGGTATTACGGAACAGGAGAAGCAAGGAGAAGCCATCTTCAAACCAGGATAAACTTTTCCTAGGGTGGCCTCCCCAAATTTGCAGGGGGGGAAATGGTCACAAGGGCTGACTTGGGCACTGAGGGCTGATGCTGCTGGTATGGATACATCCCTCTGTCTGTCTATCTCCCAGGTGCTGCCACCTCTTGTATAAAAAAAAGACTTGCGAAAGGTATGCCAAACAGGGCTTTTGGCACCACCCAGCAGGTCTTGGGGTGCTCCTGATTTCCCTCTGCAAGCAAGCCTACAGCAGCCGAGCCATTTTTCCAACCCTACATGCAACCCAGCAAGCGGCTAGCTCTCACGGAGGACGCCATATCCTTCAGCAGCCCCATGCACACAAGAGATGGAGGACAGCAAGGATGCACGACAGCAAGGACACTGCAAATGAGGCATGAGCCCTTGGAAGGTGCCAGATGGCAACCTCCGGCTTCCGAAAACAAAAAGCACACTGCAAAAAGGACCTGTCCCACACCTCGCTGACGCTGACGGAGAATCGCCCTTCTGCACAACTCGTTGCTTCCTGTCAATGCGTGATCAGAAACAAACACCCCCCCCCGCGCCCCCCCGCCTCATCTTCCTTCCCTTCGCCTCTGCAAAAACATCAGCAAAACGAGAAGGGTGGGGGGAGAGAAAGGAAAGGCGTCCGGATGATGCGTTATCCATGCCTCCAGCTCAAAACACCCAAGCTTATTGCAAAAGCTTCTCCCACTTCTGCCTTTCTATATAGCCTTCCCCTTCACAACCCCCCCCCCACCCCACCCCCTTGTGCCTCACGCTGCAGAGACGGAAGCACGGAGGGGAGGGAGGAAGGGGAAGGTTTCTGAGAAACCCGTGGGAACGGCAACTCGAGGAAAGGTTGGCGGCCTGATAAGCGGCCGGCCATGCACAGCGGAGCATTTACGGGAGGAAGAGGTGGGTGGGGAAGTGAGTTTCGGACACCAGGTAGGAAAAAAAAATCGGGGTGGGGACGCAGCTCAAAGCAACCGAGTAGGACTTTTGAAGAAAAGAAACTCGATAGATAGATAGATAGATAGATAGATAGATAGATAGATAGATAGATAGATAGATAGATAGATGGAGAAAGAAAGAAAGAAAGAAAGAAAGAAAGAAAGAAAGAAAGAAGGAAGGAAGGAAGGAAGGAAGGAAGGAAGGAAGGAAGAGAGAAAGAGAGAGAGAAGAAAAGAGAGGAAAGAGAGAGAGAGAAAGAAAGAAAGAAAGAAAGAAAGAAAGAAAGAAAGAAAGAAAGAAAGAAAGAAAGAAAGAAAGAAAATAGAGTGGGAGGGAACTAGAGAAAAACCTAAGACTTATTCTACCAAGAGGGCACCAGAGCATATGAAGAGGTCAAACCTTTGCCACCCCCAGCAAAAGGAAGGGTGATTGCGTAATGCACACCTCTGCTCCTTCCTTTCGTATTATCACAAACCGAAAGGTGCATGCTTTTTGACTCAAAGCACAGCTTAGTTTCTGGGTAAGCAATAATCTTTCTTTAAACAAACCGACTTCCATTACTTCCCCACCCCCTCCCTCGCTTTAAAATCCAGCGAGGTTAATCACAAAGGACTGCAGAATCCACTAAGGTCTTTTGTGATCCTTAACCAGGAGTGGAGCCTTCGTTTACAAGGGCATTCTATCCCCAAATGGTAAATAGATGCTTGAGGATAAAATGAGGCTTTTCAAATTACATCAAAATGGATGGAGGGCTCTGGGAAGTCAAATGAAGCCTGGATCACAACTGGCATCGAAAGTTTAGATTTCCTTGTGGATCTAAAAGGCATTAATGGAGTGGGACAATGAACCCTAAACACAATACCAAGAGGGTGCAGAATTGCGATAGAAAATATATAAATATAAATTTATATATATATATATTCTCCAATTTGATGCCCCTGCAGGAATGCCAGACTACAATACCCATTGCCGTTAGCCGGCCACAGTACAGTTGATGGATCCAATACAACTCAGGGGCAACCAGGTTGGGAAAAGCGATCCCCAAATCCCACTCTCTGCAATCCAAACCTTCGCTTTTCTCTTATGAGTGCCATTGAGGCTTCATCTATTCTGCGTTGACCATCCTGTGCTCACAAGGGGACGATGGGCCCTGAACAGCCTTCGCCACCAATAAGCGGGACCACCAGATTAAAGCGTCAAGAAACAAAGGACGCCCCCCCCCCTCTCAAAAAAGTACTCCCCCCATGGGGCTGCAGACAGAATGCAGCCCTCGGAGGCAGAAACTGGGGATACCATTGTTGGTCTGGGGCCAGCCAGGAGATTCCTGGATCTTAAAACCTCAGGCCTCCCACATTGGTTACCCTTGAAACTTGGGAGTATCGATTAAAACCTTTTATTTATTTATATTAATACCAACGCAGCCCGTTCTTTGGTCTCCGATCGCCCAGCCTTTCTTTTATGCTACCAGTCATGAAATTCCAGATCCGGCCGAGTCTCAAAAGGCTCCCCGCTTCCATCAGGCTGTCGTCTCTGCAGTCACGACAACCGCACTCGGCAGCTCCCCGTATGCAAGGCCTCCACCCTCCCTTGGCGGCACCTAAAGACCGCCGGGCACCCACCCAAGGCAGTGCCTGCCGCAAGCGGTTCAAAAGCAACGGGTTGGGGAAGAGAAGGAAGAGGGGCTCCTTTAAGGAGAACAAGAGCACCAGCTGCCCGGGGACCCCTCCCCCCCCTTCTCTCTCCATCTTCATACATGCATGCATGTCATTTTGATGTGCTCCGGCCCTCTCCTCCCTGGAATTCCCTCTTCTTGGTGTCTGAATGCAAATCATTCCTTTGTTCTCCCCGGAACATCCAGCACAGATGGTAATTACCATATGCAAAAAAAAAAAAAAAGCCAGCCAGAAAGGTTTGATTGACTGGGGGGAGGGGGGGTCCTTGGCTGGGGAACCCCCCCCTCCCCTCCCAGATCTGCTCTCAGCGGCTTCTTTGTCTCGGTTGCCAAACAACACAGATCTTTTAATTTAATTTTATTTTTTTTTCCAGAAGAGAAGCAGGTCAGGATACCGGGGAAATGCCTGGGGTTAAGGTTTCCAGACTGCCTTCTTTTTAATAATATTCTCTTTCCGGATCTTGGAACAAAGTGCAGCGGGCCCGCCTTGCAGGCAGGGCTGCCAAGGGAAACAGCCCCTTCCTCTCACCCCACCCCCCACCAAACAGCCACCCCACACAAAGGGGAAAGGCAGCAAGAGACACACACAGACACACAAAGCAGGACAGGAGAAGAGGCAGGTTTCTCTACCCTCTGGTGCGAAGAAGAGACGTTTTAAAGGAGGGGTCTGGACTTCCTCCCAGAATTGCTAGGGAATTTCTGGGAGTTGGAAGTCCAGGTTCCTTAAAAAGTTGCCAAGGGTTAAAAAACACGGCTCAAGATCCACCTCCAATCTACTTTCTTCCTAAGCTGTACATCCAAACCCGGAAGGGATCAGGGAAAACTGCCAACAACCTGCCCCAAGACCTGATCCTCCCAATCCCCCCTTCCACACCCAGCACGGGAAGTA